GGAAATATGATACCTACTATAGCAGAAGACTTCGGACAAGGTGAGTCCAACCAAGTCGCCGTGACAACACGATCAAGTTGGAAGAAAGAGGTTAACCCATTTCTTTAAAAAAATATTTGATTTTAGTTTGTGGAACCGAGCTCTTAAAATTGACGCGGAGCCTCTACATGTTTGTTCAACAGTTAATTTGCTCATATCAAATTAGACTTTGAGACCTCCCTGACTCCGTGTAGCTCATTGTAGTCATATGCTTTTTACCCTCACTGTAATCTTCGTATGCTCCAGATTCGAATGTTGATCTTGGAATTAATTAATACTTATGCATTTTGGAACATTCACTAGCGCATCTATTCAATCCACGAGTCCTGGGTTCATGGAAAAATTGCATTTTTTTTCTTTTTCAGACCAGTACTACACTTATCCGGACATGACTTTACGGGATATGGTGTCATGTGGCGTCGCGGTATCCTCTTTAGCAACGCAGCAGTTCAACTCACTTCTGATTTCCCTTTTCATCGGCCTACCGAACTACTCTGCCCAGAACAGGTGGCATTACGGAGTGACCACATGCCAACTGATCGTAAGGGTGAGCCAGCCTTCCATCCTTTTAGCCCCACAACTAGCTGATCTTGCTATTCCTATCCTCTTCGTTTTAATCCATTTTTACTATCTTTTTCTCTTGTCCCTGTAAACTTGCTGCACTTTTGAGATTTGTTCTTTGATTATCCTAATTTTGTCCCATTATTAATTTCCTCTTTTCAAGTCTAATCGTATTTATCATGTGCATTATTTACTCTATACAGAATAATTGAGGTCGCATACAATGAATTTTCTTTTAACAAATTGAGAATACTCGATTGAAGGGAAATATGTTGAATTTTCCGTATTCAGGATTTGTCCATATGACGAGTTGTAGCTTTTTGCTGAGAATGGCAAAACTCACTGGTGATGCCACCGAAATGTCCGTGAATGTAGCTAGTCTACGGCCCGACATTTGAAATGATAATAACTACTATGGTAGACGACCA